CTGCACCCTTTCTCACCTCTCCACCTGCAGCACCGCACCCCTGCAATCAGTGAGGCCTGGGCATCACCTCCTCTCCTCCACGGCTACCTCCCTGCCTGGCGCCTCTGAGCCCCTGCACCTACGCTGGCCCGTGTCCTCACCTGCTCTGCTCCTGACACCCGCCTCCAGGCTGACCCCTGGACACTCAGGTGGCTTCCTCCTCAAAGCCCCGCCGGGTCTTTTCCTGCCCGGCCCCTCTGCTCCCGCGGCCACACAGCAGGTCACCCCTTGGTCAGTCTCCATGCACAGGCAGCGCACGCTGAGGCCTTCCTCGTCCACCTACCCAAGGTGCAAACAGCTGCCCGCACTGGCGGTCAGGACTCTGGGCACCACGTTGTCGGCCCGGTGAGCCAGGCTGAGCAGGATTGTCAGCACTGGCCCAGTGAGGCCCTCCTCTGGTGCCCTGTCTGCAGGTCAGCTCCGAGCGAAGGGGGATTGGAACAGAGGGAGCACCTGTCACACCACTGGGTGCGCCTCCAAGGCAGGGCCTTGGGAAACAGCCATGGGCAGGCAACACGCATCTCGGGACTAACCTTAGGGCAGTGCTGTGGCCTCCCGCCAGCAGAGAGGAAGCTGCCCGCACCGGGAGCTCCACTCTCCTGAAACCCACCGGCGTTTGTGGCCCCGCGAATCCTGCCCCACACACGCCTCCCCTCTCTCCCACACACACCCTTACATAAGCAACAGAAGTTTCACATGCTCTCATCTCGCCCACGTGCCCTCTTCATCACAGGCCGCCCCTTCCCTGCCCCTCCTCCCGGCTAACAGGCGGTTCCGGACCCCTGGAGTCTAAGGAAGGACTCTGGGAATCTTGGTTTTTACCCGCCTGACTGTGCCAGGCCCGGGGCAGCCATCCTGTTCTGCACCTGCTCCCAGGACGGCCGTCTCCTGCCTCCGCTGGCCCTGTTCACCCACAGGAGTCCCTACCGGGCTTGCTGGTGCCCTCGGCCATAGCCCATCAGGAAAGGCAGTGGCGGCCGGGCCATCCCAGTCCTGAGCCCTGGGCGCCGCCCACCTGGCAGCCGGAGCCCCTGGAGATGACGCAGAAGCGGGTGTGGAAGGGAGGAGGGACTCCCTCTGGGCCAGTGGTTCCGGAGGGGACGGTCGGGTCGCACTCCCTCCCCGACGACAGAACCCCTTCCCCAGGTCTGCGGCGCAGAAACCGCTCGCACCGGGCCTGCTGCAATCAGGGGGTCGCCC